CGCGATTTAGAATACTCCACGCGATTCGTCGTGAGTATCGGGCCATGGTAGCCGGGGAGCTATGCAGCAGAAATAAAAGCAGCAAGGGGAATGTCGGTAAATCGTCGTAAATTTCATGGTTGTAAATGCCATTCAAGCATCTCCGTTTATACTTCCCTCGCTGTACGGTTTGCACGCGGCGCGCGTCGATAAGTTGCAAAACTCTTTCGCCACGGTACTCCATCGGGATATTCTTTTAAACCCCTCATAATTCCATGCCTCGATAACAAAATCGAGCTCGATAAAATCCTTAGAAAATCCTTAGAAAATCCTTAGAATATCCGTATAAGATCCTCTGGCGTTACGGAATCTCGATAATAGTAGAAAAATAAGAATTTCTCGTTTTCCAGTAGAGTGGTTACCCTCGGCCGCCATTTGTTTCAATAGCGTAACTTAAATAAGGAACAAGTGACAATAACTGTATTAAAAATAAAATCCACACGCGAAGAATAAAATATTTCTATTCCTTAATTTCCCACGCGAACGCGTGATTTTCATTTTGTTTTATCGTAAAGAGCATCGACGAGCTTAAAAAAATGAAAAGGAAAGGTTCGAGTTCCTATTTCTTTATAGCGCAAAAATCTTCGAGTACAAAGGGTGTTAAAGTCCGATTCTCTAATGGAATATATTTTATTTCGCAAATTTGGCGAAATCAAGAAGTATTTGAGAAATAATTTTGCAAATGAACGAAATAAAGCTTAAAATTTGGATATTTTTGAAATTATACGTTCTCCATTGTTTGTTTTAGGTTGGACCACGGGACGAATGCGGGAATTCTCTTAGGAAGTTCATTAGCCACGAGAATCGCACGTTATCGGATCAGCTGTTCGAAGTAGAGCTCGCGCTTCATCTTTCCGCGAATCGAAAGACTCGTTCGACGTTCTCTAAAAGAGCTGCAATGTCCATCCATAAGCCTGGATGGCACGCATGGCATCGAGTCGAAAAGGGCATAGACACGGGGCCGCATTTCTGCGATCGGTCACCAATAAATATCGATCTTTCATTTGCGAGGTAACGTTCTGTGTAGCTGGATCGCCTTATGCAGACAAAAGGCACGTGTACACAACGGCGATTTACCGTGGCCGGTGGCAAAAAATGGTCAAAGTCGTGGATCGATCCCGGAAAGATCCGTTCTTTATACCGTTTAACCGTGAAACCAATTAACCTTTCGATGTTACTCGCGTATACTGCGTTTGCATATCGCTGTTTCCCACGAGCACAATGGAGGAAGAGGAAGAAGGCTCGGAGATCCGATTGATGAGTTGAGAATGATAATAATTTTTCGTCCCTCGCGAAGAATATGAAAGAAAATCTTTTCCAGGAAATGGGGGAAAAAGAAATATCGAAATTTCTCCGTAACAATTTGATAATGCGATAAAGATAAGCGACGATCTATTTTTTATTATCACCTTTTTTATAAAAAAAAAATTTTTAAATATATTTAAATAATACATAATTAAATAAAATTATTAAAATATAATTAAAAAATTATTAAATAAGGAAAATGGATTAACACTAGATTTACGGAACCCGTGAATTTGACGGAAGGGTTGCTCCAATTATACGATGGTAACAGATTTAGTTAACTTATATTAAGACTGTTAATATAATATATAATTGTTTTTAAATTAAACTAATCGTTAAAAAAAAAGGCACGTGGTTTCCTTAGATATAGGTATACGGATATCGTAAATCTAGTGTTAAATAAGATTGCTAAACTAGCGCCCCACCACGATCCATATCTCCGAAAAATGTAAATATCGTATATATCGTTGAATTATTCTCGCACTCTATATAATCTTCGAATTTTCTTCTTACTACGCGTACCATAATTTAAAGATCTATTAAGAAATAAATAATTGAAGAAAATTATTTGCAAAAATTGGAAAAAAATTCGAGATATTTCGGTGCGAAATTTAGTCAAGGAGAATTGAGTAACAAAAATTTTCGATTTTTCACGAGATATATCGAATAAAGATTGATTTAAAAAGTAAATAGCCGAGGAAGAGTATGAAAATTCAAAGAACGAATAAAAGATTCGAAACATTCCTATCGCTTGAATACCTTATGCGTTAAACATAATACCCACAGGAAAATCAATGATCGGAAAATTGAACCATTTATAAATGAATCGAAAACGACCATTCATTCTAGCCCGAGATACAGTATGATACAATAAGATTTCATTTCTACCATCTTCATCCTAATGATCATCAATCAAACACAATCCAGCAGGTATAGCATCATGGATCAGGCACAGTAAGACGAATCTGACTAAAAGTAATTATGTTTCCAAGCTAATTGTAAGTAGAAACTGCCGTTTCATATAAAGGTAATTATCACGCGTGTACAGGGTGCCTCGGAAATAACGAACAACTAAATTATTATATCTCAGCACACGAAGAGAGGAAGCCCAGAAGTAGTTCGTGCACAGACCTAAACTCATAGTCATCCTTTCAACACCAGCGACGATAATTCGAATATTCATTAAACACGAATAAAATACTTCTATCCGAATATCGAAGGTTTGAAGTACCTGTTTGAGGTACCACGTGGGAAACACGTGATTGAGGAAGAGAGCCTGAGTATGAAAGAAGACGGAGTATAAGATTTAAATAAGGGTGCAAGGACGCGGAGAGACAGGATACAAAAGACCAAAGTGCAGAGTTTAGGGAGTATGAAAGTGTTGTGACATGTCAGTGAGTTACCAGAGTGGCAATATGTATCAGAGAGATGTTTAAGAGATAGAGTTAGGGAGTAGAACCAATCTTACTTTATTTGTTATTCGTTGTCTTTGAAATACATAATAATTATTAGTCATCGATAATGCTGTGTGTGAGAGAATTTATATACCTATTAAATCCTGTGTATGTATCCCTCCCCTTCAGCCCTATAGTAGTAATATAATAATCGCTTAAGCTACACCTAAAACAGTCAACCTAACTGCACAATAGACTCTATCGAGTCCCGGATCAAATTCTCCAGGTCCAATCGTGCCATTCGATGTCACGGTGCTCTACCGATTAACCTCTGCAACGAAGATTAAAAAGCCGAAGGAAAAGAGCACGCTCAGTGGTGTCGCGGGGCAAGAAGATATCCACGGGAATTTAGTAGGAATATCCCGTGGCCACCAGCGGCGCGTACACCGATTCTAAATGCAGCCACCTCGGGATACCCCTTGCTGGCAGGATCTAGCCAAACGTGTTCTGCGGCCACGAAGAGAGAAGATTGGCCGTCAGTCACTGCGGCCAAGCATTCTGGCCGATCCAGGATCCTCCGTGATAACCGAGACGATCCCGATCGCTTTTCCCCTCCTGTCCAATGAATCATTGTCTCCGATACCGAATAGGCTCTGTACAGAGAATAGCTCTTCCACCTAGAGTTTTGACAGGCTACGGAACTCGATAATGGTACCGACAGGAATTTTTGAGCCATTAGACAGACGCCTTCCTATTTATTTCTGTCTTTCTCTTTTCATCTTTGACGATCGGATCTATTTTGACGATCCATCTCGTGAAAATGGATAGCCGGATAGGTACGAAAATGATCATCTTCGAGAGAAAATTCGTCGCAATGAGTTTGAAATTTTGAAATTTTGAAATTTAGCGAATACTTGTCAGTTCCCAGGGTGTTAATCGAAATCTTGGATTTTTTCGAACGAATATCGATATTATTGCGAGGAAATAATTAGTCGATACGTGATGCGAATCTTCAAGTAGATAACGAAATTCGGACCTGGGTGAAAATGGACCATAAGTCTGCCATTAGAGGATTATAAATGAAATTGAAACATTTGATATGCACCTTCAAGCTAAACTAATTTTACTATGTAACTTTCTGGAGAATTTAAAGATTTCGAGAGGAAATCTGTCATGAAGAGGATTATAAATGAAATTGAAACACTGGTAGGCACCTTGAAGCTAAACTAATTTTACTATGTAACTTTCTAGAGCGTTCAAAGATTTCGAGATTTTTAATAACAACGACGTTTAATATCGATCTTATGTAATTAGGTATATAATGCGCTACAGTGTATAATTTTCCGATATTACAGCGTAAGCGTCCGAGTTTTATGGTTAATATTTTAAACGAATATCGTAGAATTTTATGTAAGAGTAAGGTAATGTATGTAATTTTATAATATCGTATATAGTAAGCACGAAAGTTTTATAGTCCCTTCTGACTCGTAAATTGATATAATTGCCAAGGCTCTTTGTAAATCAAATTAACCGTTTGATATTAATATTATCGATGACTTTCTGTTTGCATGATGCAGACATGAGCTGCAGCCGCAAAGACAAGAGCATTATCCCTTCGACAACTGCGTAAACCAGCAATTACAGGTGTAATTATCCCTACACCCTTCATTAGCCGGTATATTGATATATTGCGCGGCTGACACTCGGAACAGCCCACCTAAACCCTTGAATTATTAGCCAATTCCGGGTTTAGACCCCTTGCTCTTCCAACCGCACGCCATCGCGATTTAAAAATACCCTTTTACCTCTTTTTACCGTATCTTCCACCGTGTATAGTTAGGGGAATCGAAATTGCGCAAAACGACCTAACATAAATTTTTGAAAGCTAATTTTTAATGGAAAATCCTTGGAGATCGCAAGATAGCTTCTATTCCTATTACATAGATGCAACATGCAATGCATTTGCAATGCAACTGATAATGCAATTTTTCAATCTCTAACGCATATATTCCTAAATCATTGACACGAACGTTAACGCTAAATGTACTAACCTATAATATATGCATGTAGCCACGTGTAATTACCTATTTCAACAATGGATAGCAATAATTCTGCTAAAAAGAGTTGCACACACGCAATAAATGTAAAGGCAAAGAGATTGACATCCGCCATTTTGACGGTTTCGACAGTTCCAAAGTTATGGGATGAATATTTAGAAGCGGATCGAAGGTAAGAATAGAAAATTGGTGAAAATTTACTCACGTTATCAGCAGAGTTGACGTCGGGTTCCCGAAGCAGCAGAGTTTCGCAGACATCGACGTGGCCGGCTGCTGCTGCCAATAAGAGTGGGCTTCTGCCATTCTGTGAACGGAAAGAAATATTTCCAGTTAATCGTCTACTCGCGGGAAAATTTATTTCGAGAATACCACGTGTTAACGAAGCGTAATGGGGAGAGATGGGACTCAAAGGGAACTCACAATCGGTAAAACGATTTCTCCGTTCTGTGTTTCCTCTTCTACGGTCGGTACGATACTGCGTGCTCGTTCTTGCTTCGGGACGTTCGCGGTCGTTCTCTGTTTACGCGAAAATCAAATAGCCCGTTGCCTCGTCCAAGGTCCGAAACCTCTGGCTACACTCGTTAACACAACTTTGTTGTCGAAGATCGGAAATATCACGGGGAAATTCTGCGAATTATCGAAGCGAAGATTCGAAGAGAGAATATTGAGAGAAAAGGGAAAGCGCGAACTGCGCGGTGAAATTTCCCAAAGCATTCTTCGCCGCTCGTGATTCACGGGAGGATCAATTAGCAACGTAATTAATAGGTACCCGCATTTCAGTTTGTAACACACGCATTTCTCGTGTCGAATTAGCTGCTGCGATCAGACAGGACGCAGGCTTAATTAGCCGAACAGGGGTTCAAGCAACGCGACCCCATGCATCCTTGCGGCTCGCATAGCCACGTCCCTGGTCTTTCATTTGCCTTTTGTTAATTTTGCATTCATTTCTGCGCAGTGAAATTTTTTCACGCCGTAACGAAACGCCATCTTCTTGTAATTATTTTTCAAATTTTTGAGAAATCTTAATTAAGCTGCTTTTTAATTTTAATTGAATTTTAAGGAAATTTTAGACGAAGGGATGTACTATTTAAGACCTTCGATTGATTTTTCAATCCTTGGAAATATTGAAAACCTTAATAATCTTTTTCCCAATTTTCAATTCACTTTTTTTTTCGTTAGAATCCTCGCATAGGAACGTTAGAGTCAATATTTTTCCTGCAAAATAATACCTCGAGGCCCACCTGTCTTAAATCAGGGACTCTTCAAATTTTAAGTAAATTTTAGATAAAAAGATCTATTATTTAGGATCTTCGATTAATTTTTCAATGCTTGACTAAGAATATAAAATATTCGAAATATTGGAAACCTTGATAATCTTTTTCCTAATTTTCAATCCATTTTTGCTTCGTTAGAATCCTCGCATAAGAACGTTAGAGTGAAAATAATATCTCGGGGCCCACCTGTCTTAAATCAGGTACTCTTCAAATTTGAAGTAAATTTTAAAGAAAGAGATCTATTATTTAGGATCTTAGATTAATTTTTCAATCCTTGACTAAGAATATAAAATATTCGAAATATTGGAAACCTTGATAATCTTTTTCCTAATTTTCAATCCATTTTTGCTTCGTTAGAATCCTCGCATAAGAACGTTAGAGAGAAAATAATATCTCGGGGTCTACCTGTCTTAAATCAGGTACTCTTCAAATTTAAAGTAAATTTTAAATAGAATGAAGGAAAAAGGCAAAGAAAAGGTCTAACGGATAGAAATATTATCTAGATCTATTATCTAATTGCAAGATCCTCGACTAATTCTTAAAACTCTGGAGTAAAAATATCGTACGTGCACAATATTCGAAAGCTTAATAGTCTTTTTCTTAATTTTCAATAGACTTTTGCTTTATTAGACCTGGGATAGGAATGTTACCGTACGGCAGCGTGCAAAAGTAACAATGAAATCGCAGTTCTAGTGGTCGTTAAATACTAAACACGGTTTAATGTTAGGCTTAAATACTAGACACATTAGTACTACTATCCGCCTCTTCCTGTCCGATGTTAAAGACATAGGTTACGCAAATTTAACAAATGGCAATATACATCATTTTGACACGGCGAGTAACCTATGTTCGGATTTCCTGTAAGGTTGTGGCTGGTTGCCTCGGGTAATAGAGCGCACTAGCTCCACGTGTTAATGAAGAAGTATATCTTATCCACGCAACCCTAGATGCAGGGAGCGTAATATATCAAATAGTAAATAGTTGAGAATATGAATCAACCGAGTTGGACGTGTGAGCAGCATAAATTTCATTTGAACCAACATTGTGATGCCGTGAAATCGCTCGATTCGTTCGTTTTCAGCAAAAACCGACCATAAGCGACGTTAGGCGTTCATTTTATTTCCAGATTTTATTGCGATGTAAAAAATCAAATATTCCCGCGAGACACGTAAAAGAATAAGAAAATGAAGAGGGGAAGAATTAAATGGAAGGAAAATAGCAGATATAATGAATGAAAAATAAATCGAGAATAAATAGCAGAATAGGAGAAAAATAAATAGATTACACGGAACAGGGAATTATTTTATAATACCACGTATATAGTATATGAGAAATAAAATAAAACAACAGAATGAAATGTGTAATTTAAATGAAATGAATAATAAAAGACGCAGAACGCAAAAATAGATAGTATCGGGAAATAAGAGCGAATAAAATTACGAAAGGCGACTCTCGGTCGCCATTCATGTTAATGCCATAACGCGAATGTCGAATGAGAGATGACAAACAAATTGATATTACTGAAAATAATTACACGTGAAATATTCGAATGAAATATTTCTATTGCCCAATTTATCGTGAAGAAACGTGGCTTCCTTTAATTTTGCTACAAAAAGTATCGTCGAATTTACAAAAGAAGAGCG